ATTTTTTTTGCCAAATTTGTCTCCAACTTAATTATAGCTTTTTTTTATATGTCATATTTTTAATTTCTGATTAAAGGCTCAATCATATTTCAGACTTTTAAAAGACAGATCCTTTTTGTAAAACAGACCCTCCATTCCCTTGTCCTCATAACATGTACCTACAGGTCTTACAGGATTTTTTTCCTTTTTTTTTTTTTTTTAAGCTTGGACAGTTAGAATTGTGCATGATTCTGATAACCATTGTCTTTCATTAATCATTTTCTGCAGCATCAACACTCCCATCTTTACCAGAAATATCTTATCTGAAGCATCCTTGTGTCATACTAACACTTTTCACAAATATTACATATTTTTAGGCCACACTGACTCTGTAGTAGACTAATTCAACTAAAGTGTTATGGTGACACAAACACTAATGCTCATTAATTAAGTCAGTCTGTAAATCAGATGAAATAATCTAGATAGACTGACTCCAAAACAGCTTTGCAGATGGATGAGAGAACAACCCAATTACTATTTGTATTTCGAAATAAGGAACATGTGGTCACCTGTGAAGCGATGTGAGAGAAGGCAAACCAGTGATCCAAAGTTTCTATTCTCATTCAGGGCTGAAAGCAGCCCAAGGAGGATGGGAGATGTGAAGTTTTCTGGGGATGAAAATATCTGGTGTTCTTTTTATTTGCATATTTGTCAATACTGCATTTTGAAATTATATTCAAAATAAATCTGTACTTCCTTTCTATCTTTATGGGCTTATATTTTCTTTCTCTGATCTTAATTGCTACTGAAGTCTTTGCTTGACAGTGGATTTTGACCTTAAAAGTTTCTCTGTTGCATTTGATCACATAAATGCTTGTTTATTTATGCAATAGCATATATTTTATATTGGTTGCAATATTTTGCAAGGACTTCTGGCTCACTACAAATAAAAATTTTATATACTACTTCAATGCTCTGTTCCATGACAGCTCAGTATATCAGAGTAAGATATACTTAATGCTTGCAGTGTCTCAGCATGACATGCTATGCTCTTACTGACAAATTGGTCTTCTATTTAGCATTAATCAAAATATTCAGTGGAATGACAAAATATGGGTATTTCACAGTGGTTTTTGTTCTTTTCAATTTGTTCTACAAATACAGATACAAACATCTGATTTTTCACTGGTCATATGACTGAAACCTGCAGGAATACATGCCTCTTCCCCTCAATTATGTTCAAAGATCAGGTCAAACAAATGGTCACTTTAAATTCTGTAAACTATGTTTAACCTCAGAAAAGATTAAAGGGGATTTGGTAAAAAACAATGCGGGAATTCGCTCATTTAAACATTTCACTACATTTAGTCTTTTAAGCTGTCTTTGCCAAGAAAGAATATAAACTGAACTTAATACTTTAAAGCTTAGAAAAATTCATTACCACTAAGAGTGTATTAACGAAAAAGAAAAGAGTTACTTAAAACAGTAAAAAACCTGATACTGAATATAATTTTATGAATACCTGTCTGAACCAGATGCATAAAGCATACAAACAAGGCAGCTGCTGATGCATTTAGTACTCATTTGTGAGACCTTCCATATACATGTGTTGTTTTATACCCTGTGTCTATAAATATTTGGCTCAGAGAAGACTTTATTATTGATATGAATATTCACTGCCAAGAAAGAACCAAATGAATACCAAATCTGTCCTATCTGCAGTTAGGTAGGTAATCACACTAACTAATTGAAAGTATGCTGTTTCCTAACTGAACCAATTATGCAGAAAAGGCTGTATAAGGTTGAACTAAGCACCCTCCCACTAGCACAGCCACCATGCAACATGACAGGAACAAAGAAAAGAGTACAGTGAAAAGCGAACCATTCTGTTATTTATAAGTGTGCATTAGAAAGGGACAGTGAAAATGAAAAAAGCCAAAGCTGCCCATGGCACACACAGCCAGGGTGAAAATCCTTCCAATGTAAGTCCAATAATCAGTTATCATTTAAAAAAAGCTTGGGCTTTATCCTGCCAGCTTTCTCTGATAAAGGAAGGGGTTATTAGACACCTGTTCCTTCATCAGAGTAATCCTTCTGAATTGCCAAATCAAAATTGTTACTTAAATTTTGAATATCAGCACAATAAAAAGCAAATGAGATGTGAGGGAACCTTTTAGATTGCTAAAATCAAAGTAAGCACATTAATGAGCAAAACTTGACAGCTAAACCTTTTAAATTCACAAACTCATCTGTTTGGTAGGAAAAGGTGACCAGCAAGTTATGAAGATAATATCATGACAAATGTGGAATGAAAGAACCATTTAAAAAATGTAATTTATACTCCATTTCATTCAGTTTACAAACTATTTTCAGATATCCTATTACACAATTATGTACTCATTTCCACCTGCATCATTTCTACTTTTTCATCATAACAGTGGTTACACCGCTATTTCCTGCCTTTATGTTAATAAATTCCCTATATCAAAAACATATAGTCTGCACACAGTCCAACTGCCCTCTAAATATCAGCTAGATTCAATTCACAGATTAAAAAGGTGTGGCACTGCTCTTTCTGAGTGAATGGAAAATATACTATGCATATCAGAATTCCTCTAATTCACTTTTTATGCCAAACGAAAAGTTTTCTGATAAACTACACCTCTTAGGAACTTTGTTCTTCTCTATTTTGCCTTACTCATTCTTTCTATGAATTTTCTATGAACTGCTAAAAATACTTGATGTGGTCAAAAAAATCCACATACTATAACTATTATATTATTACATTAATATTAGAATACAAAATTTCATAATGTACTTTATGTCATGCAGACAGCATTGATTCATTTTGACAGGATTAATAACCTCATCATTTGCTTTTATTGTCCCCAGTAAAGACAGGGTAATAATATTCCCAGAGTGAATCGATGCAATTCTGTGCATGGCCTTCATAAGAAAGGCTTATTTGCTTTGCTTTGTGTCAGTGAAATATAGCCATAAATCCATATTATAATAATTACGAAAAGGTTTATTTAAACTTTCACTATCATTAAAGCTACAAAAAGCTTCACACCTTTTTTATAAATACCTGCAACAATGAAACAAAAGCATTTCTGTTACTGTGGTGGATCTGAAATCAGTGAACTCAGGAGTACTGCAGTAAAATAAACGATATCAACTTTATTTTTCAGCATCATCCCTATTGCATAAAACAGATGCAAATAACATTAGCGCTCAGTTAACTGCAAGAGGTTTGTGCACGTACAGTAAAATGAATCAGCTACTATATTTTTAAAAGAAGATTTAACTTAATCTATTAGATGTCTAAAGAAAATTGATTTCCGCAGAAAAAAATAAATCTGAATTGTTACTTCAATAGCAATTAGGTATAGAAAATATTAATGCACATGTTGTGCATGTGTACATACATCTCAAAAGAAAAGGGTCCTTATAAAATTTCTTTTACTGAAGACTCAAAACAGAGCCCACAATCTGGAAATATCTATATGCTTACAACTGTTCTGCATTTATATGAATATCTGGCAACTGTGGCTTGAACTCAAGTCATACACAGAAGTGAAGGTCCACCATTATATTTCACTTTTGGATCTTAACTACAATGCCCAACTTGGCCAGTCTAAAGACAGATTCAGACTTTAGCTGAAAGGGAATCTCCATAGCCTGTAGACTACACACATAATTAAAGCACTTCAGATACATTCAAGGTTAGGTAGGAGGAATCCAGTTTTAAGTTCTCAGTTCTTTTTCTTGATGGTCCATATGGTAGCCTGTTTCTATATAATTTTCATAAAAATAGCGCCCACAATTGCTATCACGTTTTTCCCTATCCTTCCAATACACTACTCGTTCCACAGAAATAGTCTAAATCAAGGATATGGCTAAGCAATTTTCCTCGTTGTCTTCTTTGGCTGTGGAGGAAGACAGGCACCTCCTTCCTGTGAGTAATGAGCGAACTTGGTTTAGATATGTTTTAGGAAGAGCTTCACAACAATTTGAGGAGCGTGTCTTGCTGCCTATGAAGGCTCCAAGGCCAGACCTCAACAGCAAACCTCACATGTCTAAGCAAAATGAATCCTGCGCCTAGTTTCTCATCTCAGAGAAAATGACCAGTAAAACTGAAGCCACGGACTTATCCCTCCACAAACATGCTGTTACAACTTACTATGCCAGTACCTTGCAAAATATTTGTTCGCACTATTTAAAACTGCACCCAGCATGACACCAACTGTGCCAGCAAGATTTTCCCGTGACTTTTGGCAGGCAGAGTCACAGCGTGATGCTCGGTGTCAGTGAAAACAGTGGTTACGCAAGAAATATGGAAGGACAATGACATAGCCTGAGGAGCATGGACGCCTTTCCCGGTGTTGGGCAGCTCGCAGTCTCCTACTGCTGTCCCGCGGGGACAGTGCCATGCACTGATGGCTGAGGCTGCCTCTCCTTGCCCTGGGGCGGGAGCACTCCCTGTGCAGTGCTCTCAGCCATCGCCACAGACAAGCCAACTTCATGGAACAGCCGAAAAGGCCTTTAACTCTGTGCAGCTCTGGTCTCACGTATATAGAGATTTGGTTTGCTCCTCGCTGTGTAACAGCGGTGCTGCTAAATGGAGACACTAGTGACCTCATAACTCACTTGCACTTTAAATTTCATTTCGGTTTCCCGCAACGGCGGCTCCAAAGGCAGCTCGCAATTCCACAAACACGCTGAAAGCCCGGCTCACAACTCAGGCCCACCTTAAGCAGTCCCCGCCCCGCCGGACAAGCCGCTCTCAGGCCGGCGCCGCTGACAACAGCGTATGTCTGCTCCCGTGGCCACCTCCGCTAGGCTCCAGCTCCTGGAGTTAGGCCCGCGTGGAGAAACCACTTTTTTCCCCCCCTTTTTCCGTGGTTTGCTGTTTGTTTATTTGTTCGTGTTCAATACGGCGGCCGTGAGGAGGCGCGGGGGCGGCTCCGGCCCGCCAGGCGGCGCTGCGGGCGGAGGTCAGTGCCCGCTCGGTGCCCGCCGCCCGCCCGGCCGGGGCTGACGTGTCCGGCGCGGCGCGATGGCGGCCGCCTGGGAGGAGATCCGGCGGCTGGCGGCCGATTTCCAGCGGGCGCAGTTCGCCGAGGTGGCCCACAGGTGAGCAGGGCGGCGCCGGCACCGCCGCCGAGCCCGCCGCCCGTCGCTGCGGCCCGTCTGCCGCCGCCCCCTCCCCGCGCCGGCCGCGCTCCTTTCCCGCGCCGCCCGCACGGCCCCCGGCCCGGACACAGCCGGGGGACTCAGCCGGGCACGGCTCCTCGGTGGTTCCCCTTGTGCTGGTGCTCGTGAGCCCCCAGGGGCAACTGGGACCCCGCAAGGTGCGTGCGGGCCCAGGAAAGCGACTGGGTATGTTCAAGCTGCTCGACATGGGCACATCTCCAGTGCTTTGTTTCTTCTTTGTGTCTGGCTGACCAGTCGAGGTTGCCCAGAACTTGTTTTTATTAAAGAGAAAAAAAAATAAATCCCCAACGCGCAAAATAAAATAGAAACGGACAGAAGGATGAAAGACACGAATTGTTTAAGCACAGCCATTCCAAAATTCACCAGCAGGTGCATTCTTACAGCTGGCGGGGCTGACAGCTGTTCAGGAGGAGACTAAAAGTTGTTTTGGAGAGATGACCTGAGTAAGTGAAGCCATATGGATGATTTGGTGCGTGATAAAACGGATTCAGGCAGTAGGGTTTTTTGTCTGAAAAAGTATATTCGCACAGAACAGCAAGTAATCCTCATTGTACTTCCTGTACTTAGTATTTTGGGAACATCGATTTAAAGATAATTTTAGCAAGTACTTACTTAGAATAACTGCTTATTCTTTGTGCTGTTGATAGATTGTCAGAACGGAACTGTATAGAAATTGTCACTAAACTGATTGCGGAGAAGCAGTTGGAAGTAGTGCACACACTTGATGGCAAGGAGTATGTCACTCCAGCACAGATTAGTAAGGAGATCCGGGATGAGCTTCATGTTTGTGGTGGTAAGTGTGGCATTTTGTTTCTTCCTTTGGATTTGGAAGTTAATTTTGAAGACTACAGAAAGAGCTTGAAAGTTTTCAGTAGCCTTAATCTTTCAGGAAAAGTCAGCTCGTTTCCATTTGCTTTACCTACACATTATTTCACCTACTGTTACTTTATTTTCACTTCAGATCTGTGTCAAGCTTCTAGGTAAGCATATCAAGATATGTTACTTGGTTTATTTTCCCCCAATGCAGAATTTCTGAGGTAACGTTGTCTAAGAACCCTTTTGAAGGAAATTTGGTATTTTTAATATGCTTAAGTGTCTGACCCAGATGTTCGGCCTTGATTTGGAATTTCAAAATCATTCTCCATTTGTACCATAGTAATCATGATATTTGTAACTTGTCATTAACAGATCTTTTATTTTACCAGTGTGAAGAGCCATCTGCTTTGTAAGATCTGACTTAAATATATAAGAAAGCAAATACTCTTCAGGCTGCTTTTCGTCAGTGGTTTTAATGAATAGGCAGTGTATTGTACTTTAACTTATAATTAAGGGTGAATTTCATGCATCATGTTTTTGGAAAACTAAACTCTTACTATGTTTATACAGATTAGTCATTTTGTTACTATTACCACAGGAATGCCTCAGTTTGTGTTATGCCATTTTGTATCATATCAGTGTGATAGCTTGGATTGAATTCAAAATTGCTGGTCTTTTGTTAGCAGCATCATGCAAAGGTAGAAAGTTTCGACAATCTCTGTTTTGGTACTCATGGACTAGTTCCATTGGTCTACAAAAAAAAGTAAAATATTGTGTGCACAGTGGACTATGCAGTATTCTAAATTTTGTTCAAATATATTTTATGTACTAAAAGTGTATTTGTACTTTTCTTAAAGGTCGAGTTAACATTGTCGACTTACAACAGGTAACTCTACTAATAAAACTATGTGCTTGTTTCTTTTCTTCACCATGTATATTGTAAATGTGACATTCATTAGTTATACTCCAGCTAAGTTATTTTTTTAAAGGAGAACAAACTTTATGAAGAACTGGTAGCTCATGTCAGAGTTCTGCAGATTACTTAATCCATCTGTTTATTGCTTTATTGAAAGCTCCTCTCTGCTTAATGCTAATCTAGGGCTTCTGAAATCACCACTGAAATACACGGATTTTCTTCATGAACTCTTTTCTTTGTAAACTGTGGAGGGCAAACAGAAAAGAAATAGTTTTCCCATTTAAATTGAAAGCTGCAGGAGCATGCATAATTAACTTTGCATGCCTCTTTGGATCTTCCCTCTTCATTAATCTCTTGTGTCCTCTAATCTTTATCCTCCAGTAGTCTTCCTCTGTGACTAATTTTCCCTTCTAGCTTAAGCAAAATTACTTGGAATCAGAAAACCTCTCTGAAAAACAATTTACTGTTTTCTGACTTCGCTTTCTGGTATTTGTTTATTATATAGGTTTCTTTTAACCTTATAGGGTTAAAAGAAACAGTTGAAAAGAGAGTTTTTTTCCCCTAAAGCACTGCTGCTTTATTTCAAAACACAGATTAAGTCTGTATGTATGCAATAGTAGAAAAAAATAAAAGCACCTTTCCTCAAGACATAGAAGTGTGTAAGTAATATCTCAATGTTTGAGAATTATTTTCAATTTAAAGTTCTGATAAGAGGTTTTGTTGTTGGTTTTGGGGTTTTTTTTAGGTAATAAATGTGGACCTTCTACACATTGAAAACAGAGCTAATGACATCGTTAAATCTGAAAAAACTATTCAGCTTGTATTGGGACAGCTTATAAATGAGTGAGTACTTCCAGGAGCAGTATGTATAATTCACATCTTTTTTATTTTTTAAAACACAGACTAAAAATAACGTCCAGCCTTTGTTGCTTCTGAAGTGAAATAAATTTTTCTTGGCTGGTGCTGGGGCTGCTTGCTAGTGATCAATGCTACTTTTCCAAACAGCAAGTGAGGCCTATCTCAGCAAAGCATCCAGTGAATCCATGGAGCAAGGGCCTTACGGGATGTCTGTGTCCAGTGTCCTGCACTTAAGAGAGTTCATTTCTTACCCAGTGTGGTGTCTGTGTACAGCAGCCACACCTCATTTGCTCTATGGCTGTGCTAAATACCTCAGCTGTTGACAAACCTTCTCATTTTTTCCCATCTCTTCGCCTAAGATATTTGAGCTAAATATTGCATGGCTTTCAGCACACTAACAACCACTGAAATAGTACTCTTATGGATGGTTCTTATTATTTATCAAGCTGCAGGATCTATTCATATCCAAGAATATGAAGTTCCTGGCTCTCTTGAAATAAGACCTGTCTTGCTCACTAGCCTTTTTCTACGTTTCATTAACGTGTATTCCTCGTTCTGTTTTTTGACATTTTCATACAAGCAGATAAATGACCCATCTTAATACCTGGTTAACAGGCTTTTTAAGAAACCACACCTTTTCACTTACATTGTTCTCCATTATTTATTTAAAATAACTTTCAGTTTATTTTTGTAAAAGTGCAGCAGAAAGAGGTATATTAGAAGAGGTCAATAACTAATTCAGTATGTCACCTCGAGGCTGATCTTGAATTTCACACTTAATGTGTTGTGTTTGGTTTTTTTTCTTGTTTTTAAATAAGGAGTTACCTGGATCAATTAGCGGAAGAAATAAATGATAAACTTCAGGAAACTGGCCAGGTGACAATATCAGAACTTTGTAAGGCATACGACCTTCCAGGAGACTTCCTGATACAGGTGATGCAAGCCACCAACCTAGCAAATGCAGAATTGATTGTGTTCATCTTCTTTTGTTATCTTTGCATTATCCATTGCTTGCTTTAGTTGTGATGAACTGCTTGTCATTTTAAGCAGAAAAGTATCAGGTACATAAAGGTTGCAGTTTAACAGCTGTTCACAGGTTGGGGTTGATATTTGCTTTTTCACTACTGGCAAAATTTCTTCTGAATATTTGTGACTGTTAGGAACAGATTAGGATTAGTAGTGTTAGGAACACCTTAGATTAGCATAAGATCTGAAAATTTTTTGGAAACACTTAAGAGGTAGGGGTAATTTCACCAGTCTAATTAGCTACCCAGGAAGCAGAAATACGATGGTAGAGTCCTTTCAGTTTATTCAAAAAAGATAAAATAAATATTAATTTTTAGGAACTGAAGCCAGGCATTCAAACTAGAACCAGAAGTACTATTTACATTTAGTTAGTGAGTGCAGAGTGTTTAAAAGGGTAGGGAGAATTCTGTTTTGTTGACTTTCAGTCAAGGTTGAATTTTATTTGGAAGATGCTTTATTCAAAGGATAATCCTGTGACATGTGTCAAGTGAACAGTCATTAGGTACCACAGCCAACCACATTGACTCTCAGTATGTGAACAGATTTCTTTTAATATTTGTTGCATGATCAGTTTCTACAAAAAGATTTCTAACATACAGAAATTTTTACGTGATTTCTCTTTGTTTCTTGGGTAGTATCTCCTGGCTTTAGTTCACTTTGCAAGGATGCACATTTATAAACTGTTTGCACCTTTTCGTGTTTATTGTTGTTAATTTTTATCTTGAATTTTTGAAAAAGTGGCCAGTGAATTCATCAGTCACTGGTTCGTACAAAACTAAGACAAAGATTAAATCTTAGTTTTCATTGTACATCTCCAAACCACACTTATTTCTTCTGCAGAGTTTTCTGTCGTCATTAGATACAAGTATATCTGATAGAAGAGGACATTGTAAGAGAAGCTAAATTCGTCTATTTACAGGCATTATCCAGGCGTTTGGGCAGAATTATTCATGGGCAACTAGACCAGGAAAACCGCGGGGTGATTTTTACAGAAGCCTTTGTGTCCCGCCATCGAGCACGCATCCGTGGTCTCTTCACTGCGATTACTCGGTAAATTACAATGCCTGCAACCACGTGTTAAAAGATTTTTACCATAGGTCTTTATGGACCAAATCCAGTTGTGATTGAAAAAGAAAAGAAAATATAAAGACCTATGTATAGATTCCCTTAAGTTCAGTTCCTAAGTGAAATACTCAGTTATGTTAGAGTCATTTGTTAGAAACAGGGACCTCCTTTTGAAACGAGAACAAGGGAAGTATAACAATATACAATATATAACATACTTCGGGTTTTTGGCTGAAGAAAATGTTAATCCATAGTTCTTTTATTTGCTTGTAGAATATCCATCCTCATTATCGCTCTTAATTATCATTATGACTTCCTAGTCAGTTACATATTGATGTGATCACTACATGTGATTATATACAAGTTTTTCTTATTAAAGCAATAAGCTTCTGTGGCAATTTGTAGGAAGAGAAAAAGTTGGGGAGAGCAGAAGTTTCCTTACAATAATTATAGTAGCTTTGTAAGATATAACTTCACAGTAATTCAAAATTAAAACCTTGTAGACTATTTCAAACATCAGTGTAGCACCCTGAGGCTAAGACACTATGTAATTTTGTCCATCTGGAGAAACCTTTCTTGCTTATGGATTCTCCACATCAATTTCATGTCATTAACTTATATTGTTTTGTTGTTTGTTTTTTTTTTCCAAGGCCTACACCTGTAAGTAACTTGATCACTCGGTATGGATTTCAAGAACATTTACTTTACTGTGAGTTTCATTCAGAATATTTTGTGTCTGTTAGGTAATTAATTCTTCATTACTGTAAGTGTGCTTTCAAAGAAGCATTTTAGTATATAGCCTTAATTCTGGAATAAAGAACAATGTGTTTCTCTTGACTGTAGAAAGTATTAAACCTTTTGTGCTATCCATAACTGAAGGGATGTTCTCTGTGTCTAAAGCAGTGAAAGCATATGTTGATGAAATGCCTCTGGGGGCAGAATGATGCAAGAATTACAGTACTTATTTAGTCATCTGTTTCGTTATTTGCCCTTAGCTACTGGCAGTTTTATCAGTGAAGCACACAAAAGGGGACAGATTTTATGTACTCAAATAGCATTAACTGCTCACGATTTTATTTACTAACTTTTCTTTGTGATAACGAAGGCAGTGCTTTTGTTATACTCTTAGTTAAATGACTTTATGTGCTGAGAGATAAAGCATATCCTTAAACTGTTTGGTTTTATTTTCTGCAGTTCCTTTTCTAAATAGAAATGCATAAAGATTCTCTATCCAACTGCTGAAATCTTTAGGCACTACTTAATTGTTTGTCACTTCTGGTGTTGCAGTTTTTCTCTGTGTACCCACTCCTGTCTCTCCAAGATGCTCCTTCAAGCAGTTGTTAGTCTTGTATGACTGGCTGACCAGGTGCTGCTGGTCTTTAAAATCCTTTAATGGTTTTCTGTCTCTTCTTGGGAAAGTTAATACTTCTCTTTTGTTTCACTGGGTCTTTTTGCCTTCAGGGTATTGCTCACTTTAGCTCCACTGTGGTATGTCTCTGCTTACCTTCTTGTTCTTTGCAACAAGCTTATTCAATAAAAAATAAAATCTTAGCACTTAAATAAAACCATATAAACACTCTACTTTCACATAACCAATTTAAAATTTCCACTTCTTCTTTAATGTACCATCCAGGTATTCATAGATCAAAAGGAAAATCTGTTAAATTACAGTATAGTAATATTTCGATACCCAGCAAATTTCAGTATTTTGTTACAGTCTATTTCAAACAAGTCCTTCAAGTACATCATTGTGCTTTGCTCATGGACAGCGTTAATGTGTATTGAAGTTCTAGTGTTTTCTTGTCACCAGTAATCATCACAATATGTATTTCTAGTATTTTCCTGGGGTTTTTATTTATTGAGTTTGTTTTTCTTTAGTTTTTCTTACTGTCTTTCATTACTTCTGCAGTTTCATAAGTTTCAAAGGGCTTTTTATCTTTTTACTCAGTGCCAGAGTACATGTGAGTTTATTGTGTCCATTTGCTGAGATATCATTTCAATTTCACGAATGCTGAAAACCTGAAAAATACCTTGTAATGTTACTTTTCACCTTTTATGTTTCTCACTATTTACAATGTGTTTTAAAGTGGTCTTTGTCAGTTTTCTGTCTCTTCCAGAATAAAAATGTAAGCTCAATGTAATGTTTGTATAACTTACAAAGAGCTAATTATTTAATCAACACTTGGGTTTAGACAGGATAAACATTATTCTTTGGTTCTGTCGCATAGCTGTGCTGCTATTCATCTTGAGCTGGCATGAAGTTGTGATAGAAAATAGTTCCAGAAATGAGAAACTCTTTAGGTTAAAAAGCATAATGAAATCACAGATGTGCTTAATTTCTGAATATTATGTTACTGATGTGGGACAGACATGTAGGGATACTTACTGTCTTTACCAGACTTTGACAGAGACCTAATAGAACACAGCAAACTACTTGGTCACCCTTAAAAATAAGTGTGAAATTATGGTAGTTCTGCAGAGGTCCTGTTGGTTTAAAACAAAATAGTGTCCAGACATAATTGTAGCAGGGTCTGTGAAAACTCTAAGAGCACCTCCTCTGCCTTGGAGTTTTAGAACTGGCACTTCATATAATACAGAAATTAATTGATGACTTCTTTTCTTCTGATGTCTTCTTTCTCTAAAGACTCTAGTTCATTACTAGTGCTCCACAAAATTGGTTGAAAATCCCTTAAAGTCTAATTTTTTTTCCTGAAAGACTTTGAGTAAGAAGAAGTTGAATTGGAAACAGAGGACCAAGAGAACGAGAGAACTGTATTGTCTGACAGTCGCTTAAGTGGAATAGCCACATTGACTCTATTTTCTAAGTGTAACTAAAATATTAGGACGTATAAAAATCTAATTTTATTTCCAGAATTGGTCTTATAAGCTCCATTTTATACAGTGTAACTGAACCGTGGCAGAACATGATTTCTAGCTCTTGTCTTAGATTACATAAAACTATATCTTGCTTAAATCGGTTTCTCTTTCTTCTGTATTTTTTCAGTGTAAGTACTGTTCAGCTGTGCTAGTGGAAGTTGTGTTCAATAGCTGCTAGCTTATAGAGGCTCATCTACACTATAGGCATATTTGACCAAAAATATCTTGAATTAATATGCAGTATTTCTCCTGGAACCATGTTTTCCGGTAAATTTTCCTGCTAAACCTCTGTATGCTGTAGTAAGCATGTTGTAATGTTGACTGCTACTTGTATTTAATGAGGAAGAAGCCATACCATGTGATACTGTTTAGTGTTTTGTTCCAGAGTAAAACCTGTCTGTTAATGAAATAGAAATTAACTCAAAGTGAGGATAAAAAAACCCATCCAATAAAGCTCTGGAAATTAGCAGAGCTTAGCAGTTGATGTCACTGATTTTTTTAAATGTATCTGTTGTATTACAAAAAGGCAAAAGCAGAACATAGGAAGCAAATCAGATATTCCTATACACCTTTGAAGGATTGAAAAAAATCTTATTTAGCATCAAGAAATGCTTAGTACTTTGGTACTGCCAGTTACCAGTATGCTCTTTGTCCAGCAGTATTTGTTCATTCTCAAGAGGTTATTATTGGCAACTGTTACGCAGTTTAGGTAGCAGTTTTTCATGACTTTTTCATGTCATTTTAATGTGTTTAGATCTCTTTTTTTCCATCTTGGTTAACATGCAAACAATAAATTCAAGGAGAACATTTTTAATAAAATGCTCATATATTTTACTGTCTGGCCAGAGAAAGATTCTCTTATGTCTGCATTTTCTAAATTAAAAACTTGAACTGCCTACGTATAAAAAATGTTTTGATCCTGCCATTGTGGCTCACTGTTTTGAAATGTATGATTTCCAGAGCTCTTAAGAAGACATTCTCATAAGTGTTAAAAATAATTGATAGAGCTTGGAAATGTTTCACTAGAACAAGCACAAACAACTAATTGGTGGGAAGAAAGAGAAAGCAAACTAGGGAAAATAATTGCTATCTTTTGATTAATGGATATGTTGACATGGAAACTGTCTCTTAATTTATTTTCTTGTAGCTTTACTAGAAGAACTTGTTAACACTGGTCGTCTAAAAGGCACCGTGGTTGGTGGGAGACAGGATAAGGCTGTGTTTGTTCCAGATATCTATGCCAGAACACAGAGCAACTGGGTGGATTCTTTTTTCAAGCAGAATGGTTACTTAGGTAATTAATCTATATTCTCACAGATAAAATATCTTTCTAAAACTAGTTTAGGTAATTGGTCTTACCCTAATATAGCTAGTGCCTAGAGTGAAGCCTCACAAGAATAAATAAAAATCAATACAGTAGTTGATACTCCTTTGTTAAAAGACCATCTTGTTTATAATGATGTGTGTTACTTTATGACAACTATTTCAGCAGATTGAACCATGTTGCTAAACAGTATATATCTCACAGACAGAGCTACAAATGCTACTTTTATTACTGCTTCGAAAACATTTCTTAGACTGCTCATTTTCAGATGATCATGGCAGGTGTCCAGATTACAACCAAACTTTGACTGTTAATAGTCTGAATTTGCAGTGCACAGGAAGAATTTTTTTTTTTCCAAAATAATATCTGTGGAACTGGAGTGAGTAGCAGTAGTGTCCTGATTTAAATCCAGACATTTCTGTGTAATTTAAAGCTGAGTGATTCTGGATGATGATATTTTAAAACACCTATGTGTATGGGAAAATGTGGACCTGAATAAATAGAGGAATGTCCCAAAGGGCCTGTCCCTAAGTAACAGTTAGTCTTGCAGATTGAAAAGATTCACCATAATTTACAGTGGTAGTAGTAAGTGTTTCTGTAATGTTGTTTGACTGATAGAGTATCTGTCAAAGTCTTTAAATGTTTTCTGAACATCTTAAGTATAAACTGCCAAATAGTTGAAATGCTTTGCTTGTGAAGCGTTGTATGATTCTATGAGTATATTGGGGTAACTTTTGAAAACAAAACACTTAGGCATTGTATATATTGTAAATATTGTTCATGTTATATTAGAATACTTTGGAAATATTTAATTACATAATTAAAATATAAATAAGATATATACTTAATCGAATAAGAATCTGGGAAAAAAAACTTTTTTTTTCTGAACTCAGCCCGAAGTCATGTCCATGATTTAATCTTCATATTTCTATTAACAGTGTTCAGGTGTAGTTTGTATTGAACTAAGTTTTAGGTCAGCATTAGCTTAAGGCTGCATTTACTTGTATAAAACTATATGTAATTCTTCATTTCCTGCTTTCAGAATAAAATCATCCCCTAAGATCTTGTATGTATATGAAGGAACTTAATTGTAACAGACATCTAACTGTTTTATAGAATTTGATGCATTGTACAGACTTGGTATCCCCGACCCAGCAAGCTACATTAAAAAAAGATACAAGTCAACACAGCTCTTATTTCTGAGAGCAGCTTGTGTTGGTCAAGAAATTGTGGATCAAGTTGAAGCCTCTGTAGAGGAAGCCATCAGCTCTGGAAACTGGATAGACATAGCAGTAAGCAATCCTTTCAGTTACTGTTGTTGGATTTATTTCTTTTGTTTTATTTTTGTGTCAAATGATATCTTATTGAAACTGCACATATGTGTAATGAAATTCCATGTTGTCAAAGAGGAAAATTCAGTTTAAAATGACAAGTAAAAAGGCATTATTTGCCTTTGGTTTGATCTGAAAAAACCGGGGAAAAGTGTAGCCGTAAAACCTGTATTATATAGATTTTAAGGCGTCAAGGACATACTGATATTCAGTTAATAAATATGTAAGACTAACTTTATTTAAAAATTAGTGCTAAAGTATTCTGCTAGAGAGCAATATATTTCTGTTGGACTTTTTTTTTAAAAAAAGTCTCAGCTGAACTCTTACAAAACTTTCAGTAAGCAAAGGGATCTTAGTCATTTTGTCCTCTCTAAACCCTAATTTTAGGTCTTACAGCACTACCCTGTCATTTTTAAGTCTCGCTGTTGTTTTGTGTTTGGCGTTGCTCTGTATCTGTTGAGCTTCATTTTCAAGAAGTTGCCATGCATTTGCACAGGTAACACATATTTTTAGGGCAATGCTTATTTAGGATGTTAGAAGATTTCAAATAGTGTGTACTCTTAAATTACTAGTTTAATTTTAAAAGTGCAGTGTTTTCTAAATAGATAACAGATGTCAGATGGCACGTCTCCGGATTCTCTTTATCCACATGTGAGGTTATTGTATTTTGATTTTCTTTACCCTAGACTCTTCTGCCCAGTTCATTGTCAGTAGAAGATGCTGGGATTTTGCTTCAGCAAGTGATGAGATCTTTAAACAAAAACTCTTCAGGTTTAGTCTTCAGTGACACCATTGCAGTGAGTGAGAAATTTCTAAGCAGCTGTGCTGACCTGTTTTCTGATATGATGCAACAGAAAGCTGAAAAGGTACAGTTTTTTTAGTGGTCAAGATACAGTACACGTTTAATGTTGGAGGATAACTTATGTAACTTTCTATTTGCTGTTATCATTTCTTTACATCTCTTATGAAAATAAATGAAGAAAATGTATGTATATGTAATCAGTGTAATTTAATGTGTATTCAGGTGCACTCAGGGAACACACACAGTATGATCAGATGCCAAATTTTGAAGAGAATAAATATCTCTTCATGTGTTACAGTTAGAAGACATGGTCTTTGGTTAGTGTACTTGAAAATGGTCAAACAGCTTAAATGTTTCCTTGTGAATCTTTTGCCTGTATGTATCTTTTTGCTATTAAATGCATGTTCTTCACTTTAGGAAATGAAAAACAACCCTGTTAATTTAATCACTGAAGAAGATTTAAAACAGGCTTCCGGTTTAGAGAATTCGTATGCTAATAGAAAAGACAAAAAGGATGAAAGAAGAAAGAAAGCAACAGGTAAAAAACCATCAATATTAGCTAAAGCCAAAAAAAAAAAAAGGCTTGTTTTTCCTTGGAAATACTTAAATATAAAGTTTGTGTGTTTTGTACTCTCCAGTCCATTGCTGAAGATATTTGGGAAATAACCCAACCACTTATCATTATACTGTGGATGTAGATATATCTGAGCTATGTCTATGAGAACTAATTTCTGATTTAGAAGTGCAGAGGAACTACCATAAAGGTCTCTTGAGTGAGTCCAACACAAGACAGCTGGCTTTAAAAGCAAGGAATCCATTGTATACAGTATGGCCACATAAATCTGAGCAAAACCAGTATTAGCTCAGGGACCTATACCATTTTTTATTACACAGTGCAGATACACTTTTAGTCTCCACTTTTCAGGAATCCAGGAAAATTAAAATATTTCTTACCAGGCTTGAGATATTAATTCTAAAATAACTTCGTATAAATTGAGAATAAGTTTCTTGGTGGTTTTTTGGAGAATATTTGACATCTTTTCTGAGAAACCCATGCCAGAGAATTTTCTGTTGTTTGCTCATGTAACAGTTACTTGGGGATTAAGACAGTTTACTTTGAGGTATATCCTGGATTAAATTAATCCCAAACCTTACTCCATTTGTGTGCTGGCTGTTTGGATGGATTTTAATCTAAGAAGAAAAAATGTCTGGATTTAACCCATTGAAATCTTTCTGGTTTTTAAAATGTTATTCAGATTGGAGACTGTACTTTCAGTGCCAAAAACTGTATGTGGCTCTTGTGTTGCTACAACACAGTTGAGCAATCTATATTGAACTCACATGCAGAGTGTTATGTGCTGATGCAAGTAAGAGAATTAGAGCACTGATGCATTTAACTTAATTGAATATACTCATCTGCAAAGTAAAACAGTATATTCTATCTTAACAAGAGATAGATTTTTCTAGGCCATACCTTAGGCAGAGAAGCTTGAAACTTAATTGATCTGTCATAACAATGGCTTCAGTTTTCAGCACTCTGAGGAGTGAGACTCTACTGAGCCTGTACTAGGTTACTAGATAAATTCATATCCACAGGTAACAAATGCTGCACCATCAGCAAGCACTACCCTGAATGTTTTTTTTATGGACTCTTAGGTGTATTTCCTAAAAAAACCCAACATAACAGTTTATGTAATGTAATGGCTGTAATGCAATTATATTTCAAATAAGCTTGTGAAAAGCACTAATTATTTTTTTTGTTGTTCCTGCAAAATGATGCTTAAAAATCCATGTATAACATGTAACAGATGCAGTTAGCTTTATAAGTAGTAGCATCTTGTCTTAAATAATAGTAGTTACATAATGCAGTTACTTGGAATCTTGGACCATATATTTAAATGGAAAAAATACCTACTTTCTTAAGGCATAGGACGTGTATAGAACAGTTATTCTGGAGTTTAAATTTCTGTCAAGTGAAAAAATAACAACAAGCTATGAAAAGGGGAACAAACAGCAGAACAGCTTACTTTGTGGAGAGGGACTGTATAACAAATTGAAATTCTGTCTGCAGTTGAATACATTGATTACAGAACCTCCGAACAAAGTAATTCGTTACATGTGGCAGAACTGGAACATCTCACTGCTTTATAGTCATCTAGGAAAAGTCAAAAAAGATTGAGTGCTCTAGTTAATTGAATGTGTGCTTCCAGGAATATTTTGGATAACTGCTATTCATGTAGGATTCTTCCTCTGAAAATTAACAAAGTTACATTATCTGAAATATTTTTGAAAAGCTCAGTTATTCAGTATCACTGGATAAAGATGCTAAGTGCTTACTAAGGTGCTATTTTCAGCCAACAGAAAATCTCCCATTGCATTATGGACACTGGTATTTCATCTGTTTTCAGCTGGAGGAAAGATATTGCTCTTTTTTTTCTTTTTAATCATATGTGCACATTTGATATGATTAGTATTTGTGTTTATTAATGACATTGGCTTAAACAAAGCTTCGACTCAGTTACTTTGTTTTCTTAAGGATGAAACTAATAGTCCTGATGTTCTGGAATATGTGTTCTAGGTTGTGTTGAGAATCAGGTTGTGACTTTTTATTCGGCATTAACAAATAACACAGATAGTTATGATACTATTGTAAAAGTTTTAAGCGCTACCACTTTCCTGTGTACTGAGCAAGTAATTCCCCACCAGAGGGCAGTGGAAGCGTGAGAGCAGGAGGTGGTGGCAATGCCAGAGAGATCAAGATTAAGAAAACCAAGAAGAAAGGAAGAAAGGATGCTGACAGCGATGAAGAGTCACAGGGGACTGTCACAGGTTTGTAGTTTTATTTTAGGTACTGTCTATTCATGTCTATTCAACGCATTTTTATCACTTGCTTTTCCTCGTGTCTGTTCTTCTCCTACTGTGTAGGTAAGGTCAGGTAAAATGTCAAAGAAGATGAGAATACCATTTAGTTAGAATTGTATCAGTGGATGTATGATGTTGCTGTTTAAATGAAATGGGCATACCATGTTCACTGAAAAGTATAGCTTAGTCCTTAAAAAAGAAATTTAAGTAAAGTAAATTAGACCATTTTATATTTATTTATTTATTTATTTTAAGTAGGAAATGCCTTAGATTTTGGGATGAAAGTTATACTTGATTTTGTAACAGCTGTGTATGGTAAATGAATGGCTTAAATTAACAAATCATAGCAATCAAACAGTTTTCCTCCATAGGGATAAAATATAAAGTCAAAACTAAGTTTTAATATTTTTAAAAATATTCATATTGTTTAGCTGAGACTTTTACATCTGAGCTAGCTACCTTTATAACTGCTGACTTTTTAAAGGAATTTGAATCACTCTCTATTGGCACCCATTTCTCTGCCTTCTCAGTTAGGAGAAGGAGCATGGATGACTTCCTAAGAAGTAAAAGCCAGCATTGTTAGAGCAAACAGTGGTTGCAAATGAAACAGTGGTGTTCTTTCTTTTATTCAATGGAGCACTAGAAATGTGTGCTTCTATTTTATATATAGTACCTAGACTTTCAATACTGACTGAAAAATACTTTTAAACATGATATTTGAAGTTATGAAGTACAGCATATTAATTTTGTTTGATATTACTCCCACTGATTGCTGTAATTTATATATAAATGAAGTTATTTTTCAGGACTTCTCAATTACTGAGTAAAACAATGTTAAATCACTTTTTTTTTGGTGTAGCCTTTCATGTGTTACCACTGTTGCTTCCTGTAATTGTATAGTAATATATAGATTGAATCACAATCTCAAGATAAATTCAGATGAAACCATTCAAATGTAAATAAGGCCCTTTCAAAACCTGATTTAAGCTCCTTTTTCACTTGTTTATATAACTTTGTATGCTTATTGCTACTGTGGTACAACAAGGAGCATCACTGATCTCCGTACATGCAGTTACTTTATGTGCAGAATAAACCTGTTTTAAGCCACAACTTGAACATGGAATGCCTGTCCTTTTATGGTTCTATGTCATCACCCTTATCTCATTCTTACATGTAAAAACTAAATTCTGCAGCATGCAGGCAAACTTCATGTTTTGTGCAAAATCAAAACACAGCTGCACTAATTTGTATGCATTTACAAGCAGCATGTAAGTGGGTTTTATTACTGGAACATCTCTTCTGGTTTAATATTATTGTTTTGTCACGTCTGAAATTTTATACTGTAACCTCAAGTTTAGGATACTGTGTTACAGGATTGTGTACGTTACTAAATGGAGTTTAAAAAAACAAAAAGCTTGTGAAATCCTTCAAATAGGAACACTATTCAGTTTTGGCACTTTAAAATCTATCTGGTCTTGGAGAGATTATGGTTTCTAAACTTACAGTCTGAAATGTCTTGTCAAAAATACCTGTCCTTGTACACTACTTCAGAAGCTTCTAAGTAATGGAAAGAGAAATTTTGTTAGTTTTTCAGATGTGTAAAATTTAACTGTCATGTACAGTCATCCCTTTTTTTCCACTGTTGATAATGCATTTCTTCTGTGGGTGTTTGGATTTTCAGTGTCTCATGCCAGAGTAGTTGCAGCAATACTAAATGGAATGTTTTCTCATTGAATGTTGTTCATGGCAACTACAGGTAGGAATAAGCAGCCAGAGTTCCCTTTCATGTCTCAAGAGGAAATTGAGGATGTCTTAAAGACCCGCCTGCAGGATTGCCCTGAAGAGCTTATTACGGAAATTGCTGAACACCTAAGAAGGTAATTTCTGTAATTCACCTGGAGTTACAAAATTGTTAATTCACTTCGGATGAATCTTCAGTCTGTTTTCTTGCTTAGAAAAAAGTGATTTGTTGATAGAAGTGAATCATAATATTCTTTTTCTATACAGCTTCATGTTACATACTCCTTAGGTGTTAGAAAGCTGTGCTGACACAATAATGAGAAATAATGTTTCTGCTTAGCAGTATGTCGTTCTGTATGCTTTGCCAGCAAGCTTATTTTCAGCTCCATGAGTGTGTTTCCACCCCCTTACACATGTTGGGATTTCACTAGTCCCATCTTCTGTACAGCCTTTGGTATATGTCCATGTTTCCTGCCTTCTGTGACTTCAGTGCTACCCATGTGAACTGGGTAGTACCTGCGTCATCAAACTGATCTTTGCAAAGATAATCCATGCATTTTTTAAAAGATGTTTCATACAAGATGTGAATATGTGTGTTTAGAGCAAAAGGCACATAGTAAGACTGTAACAGCCAGGCTTGAATAAACTTGGAGTGCAATAGTAATAGTAACTGCATCTTTAGAAGGACCTGAAATCTGTCCACAGACCCCTGAAAGTTTGTGAATAGTGTTGCTTCTGGAAATCCTTCTATCTTTCACCTTGTTTCCGTTTAGGAGTTTTTTATAAGTTAAAACCATGGCAAGCATTTACGCACCATGGATACTGTAAGAGTAGTACATTTGCAATTGCAAAAGTACATTTTAATTTCCTGGTGTTTTTTCCTGATTTCTATTATTTGCTTTTTATTTATCGCATGTGTGACATTCATACCTCATTCCTTTTTACTATGTAATGAAATAGTTTTCTCTATTGCTGATATATTTGAGAAAACCTGCAGTTTTACTTTTTGCTTAATGTTTTCTTCTTTCCCTTTCTAAGACCTTTAACAAAAACTTATCAGGAAGTTGTGCGTTCTGTTTTTACGTCTTCAACATCTTCCTCTGGAGCTAACAGAAAACAGACTATGAAGGACTTGCAGGAGGAATTCTCAAACTTGTACAACAACATTCGGTTATTTGAAAAAGGAACAAAGCATTTCACAGGTAAAAATTGTTAAAATTATTTCAGAATCTACATTCAAGGTCAAAGTGGAGCAACAGTTTAAAAAGGAAAATCTAAAAAGAAAGAACTTGAGATGTGTTTACTCTGCCAAACGCTCCCCTTATGCTGAAGTGCATCCCTCTGCACACTTATAGTAATACATTCTCTTTATTTCATATCCATATTCTGTTATATCTTATGTCAAGATAATTGTGTGTTCTTGTCCTTCCTTCCCAAGTGTTTGCATTCCTTCCAAGTTTTTATTGTCTAGGGAAAAAAAAATTTAGTAAGCTCACTTTATTCTGTCACCTGTGCCACTATTGAAAGAATTGAATACTACTTGATTCTGAAAAGCTGCTGTTTAAACCTCTTAGTTTGATACTGGAAGTAGCTGCTCCTTGAAGATAGTCTGTCAAAAAGTTGTAGATTCAAATGACAGAAAAGTTAGCATTAGGAAAATATTGTAGACATTTCCAAGATTCTCTGCTGTATTCAGCTTTCTTCTAGAATTTTCCTAGTGGAAAACTTCTAAGAAAAGGAAACACTAGCAAAAAAATCCTGATATTCCTATGCTTTGGAATACATGGAATTATTTCTCATGAACCTTTGTTCTTGGACATGTATTCTATAGCCTGTTTTTTTTTTAAATTCTACTATTTCAGTCTTAAAGTCTGCTCTTTTGTTTGACTGCTTATCCTGCAGAAATTTTCCTTTACAAACTTATTACTTGATGGATAACACTGGTTGTTCATTACTGGTTTAGGAGGATTATAGAAGGACTAGTTTACTGCTTATACAGGTACACCTTTGAAATACTAACAATGCATTACAATGTTCTTACAGACCTGAAAGCTCACGTTTTTTACTGAAGAATGTTCCTTTAGAACCAACAAATGAGGGATGTTAGCTTCATGTATCCAGATAGCTTTCTCATACTGCTCATGGTCGATTCCATGTTTTAGGAAGTGCTGTGATAATGTCATAGGAATCAGACAACTATACTAAGTGAATTTAATCACTTATTTCTTTTAACAGATGAGACTCAGACTAACCTTGCCAAACACTTGTTGAAGACTGTGTGTACAGACATTACAAATCTTATTTTCAACTTCTTAGCATCTGATTCAATGATGACAACAGAAAACTACTCTACAATCACAAGTGAGGTACACAGATAACAGTTGCATTTTAACAGTCTCAAGTAGATCAGTGATGTTCATTTGGTATTTAATTGCTTCTGTTTAGATATGCCTACACCTAAAATTATAATTAATATTACAGATTATTTCCATTCTGGTCCCATACAGGGCAGGACCAAGATTTTAGGTAAACTGCCAGAAGACACCAAAGGTCCTTTAACTAAACTGCATGCTTCTCTGAATGGCAAGGTAAAGTTCAGATTTTCTGTTCTGCTGATACAGTTCTAACAAATAGCTGACATACATAGTGTAGTACACAAGCCCTGCTGCTGTGAAGAATAAAGGCAAAATAATCTTTTGAATTTGTGTAAGGTGGTGAGAGTGTGTTGAATTTTCAGAAGTGAAAAGGTGATCTTACGTTTTGATACTGATGGTCACCTAGCTCTTTGCTGCCAGATGGAATCCTATATGTACCATCTTTTATGGGCAGCTGAGAAAAGTCAGAACTGAGAGAGACTATCCTGTGTTAAGTGGTTGATATTTCTTGTATTTTGTTCCCAGAGTTCCTGATTGTTCTCCCATATTTTTTTTTAACTTGTAAAATAATGGATATTTTTTAAGAAAACGAACATTCAGATTATGGCAATGTAGGTACAAAGGAGAGTTATTTATTAATTCTTTTATACAGATGACAATATATTTCTTAGGAAAAATATATCTGTAAATAATTCTAGAACATGTATCCATTTTTAAGACTAATGAATTACAGTTTGGGTTAGTATTTAAGTGTGTAAACTATTGTAAAGTGAACAAAGTTAATTTCTACTAAATTAAGTTAATTTCTACTTGTTGCTTTCTTTTTTTTCTGTAGTTTATTTCAAGTGTATTCACAGTCATCTCTTTGTGTGATTAATTGTGAACAGTGCCTAAACTTTTTTATAATCTGCTGACAGAGATTAAATATTTATATCATTTTTTTAATAGAGTGTAGAAGATTTTCTTTCATGCCTTGATTCTGCAGTGGATATTTGTGGTATTATGGTGAAAAAAGGAGACAAAAAGAAGGAAAGGTACCTTAATTTTATTTATTCTATGAATTGTAGCTATACTGCTGCACAAATGCTAGATAGTTTGGTAGCAGCCACACAGATTATATAAAAGAGGCAGTCCTTCTTTCCAAACTGTTTAATGGAAAAATACTAAGTCAAGCAGTCCTAAATCCATGGAAAACGGAGGAGGGGAGCATTCACATTTAGCTAGTTTTCTTGACTCGCTGCTTGCTACAACATAGTGTATAAATTCTCTAGGGGTCTTTAAAAATCTGAGCTACACCAGTGCTAGCTTCTTTTTGATTATTATTATTCTGGAATGTCACATAAATAAATGGTTGATCAGAGGAGAAAATTAAAATAATTGTTGTTAGATATGGCTTAGAGTCTATGATCAACTACTATATGATAGAATCATAGAATCATATTTTTGTTTAATGCATTCTTGTTCCTTAGGCAAGTCCTGTTTCAACATAGGCAAGCTTTGATTGAACAGCTGAAAGTCACAGAAGATCCAGCTCTTGTTCTGCACCTGACATCAGTACTGTTATTTCAGTTTTCAACTCACTGTATGCTTCATGCACCAGGAAGATCAGTACCACAGATCATTAATTTCCTAAGTGGCAAGATCCCAGAGGTATTCTTTTCTAGCTTTTTAAGGGGAAATTACCTTTTATCTATGACAGAACATAAAAGTTGTGCCTGACGCTATTTATTTCTGCTGCATAAACCTGGCACCATTGCATTTCATATCTGATCATTACTTTATGTACAGAATGTCCAATCCCTCTGACCTGTACTGTATTTCAAACCTTTCCTTTCATGGATCTGTCATCAATATTTTTTAATAAAATTAAAAATCAATCTGTTATTAGTACTTTGCTGTTACTCATAGAGGCAGCTCTGTATTGGGGGAAGTTACAGTTCTTATAACTGAACATTTTTACACTCTCTTTTTTCTCAGCTATAGCATGGTTCCTTTTTAAAATTGTCTAATACAGTTTTAAAGAAAGATACACTTCTTCCAAAGCAAAAATACTGAAATTCTGTATTTTATGCTGCCAAAACTGGTGATGTTTACTAACTGCATTGCTTTCCTGCTTCAGTTGTTAAATGTCCTGTTTTTGCAGCATGGACGCAGTTTCATTTTTCTGCCTCTTTGAATGTCTGTCAGAATTTAGGTTGTCAAATACCTTGATGAAAATATGTATCACTAACCCTCTTTGGGCAAGAATGGGGAAATGCTTTTTTAAAAATTTAATCTTTAATTATAGACCTGTCTACCTGCTCTGTAACATTGACATCCCTTTGTTTTGTTCTCTTCTTTTGCCCTCAGGATCAACATTCTCTGTTAGTCAAGTACCAGGGATTAGTGGTGAAACAATTGATCAGTCAGACTAAGAAAACTGAACATGGAGAGAGTGACACAACAGATAACAGGGAAGAGGAGGAAGGAGCAGATACCATTCGAAAAGAGCTCCAGGAAATCACTGCCTCTATCAAAGATGTTGTTCTGAGACCTAGGAAATTTTCTGTAACAGAGGAATAAAATTATTATTCAGTTCATCTACTTCCATGATATAGTCAGATTTTATTTTCTTTATTCTGTAGAAAAGAACAACAAAAAATGCTTCACAGACTTTAAAATTTGGCGTCTAACAATTGCAAATCACAGCCAGGGAACACAGTTGCTGGGTGATGGTGGCAAACAGTTTTTATTATACACCACTACAGTGTACATTTAACACACATTAAATGTAGATGTGGCAGAGCACAGTTGTGGACACATTGGGTATTAAATTAGTGGGTTCTAATTGGTATCTTCACATGAGGCCTCAAGAGATGTTTATTCTTCAAATAACAGTGTATTTTGTTCCATACACACACACAGGCTAATAGTTTCACTTCTCTGATTTGGATTTGTAGTGAGATAAGGCCTGTCTATCTTAATTTCAAACACTAGTTTTTAAACATATACTGATACCTAATACTATACCAATGAAGGCCACTTTTACTCTCATACATTAGTGGGTGTTTTCGGCTTCTGTTCACTGGACTGCAACAGTAAAAACATTTGTGTGCAAGTGTTTATTGCTAAACTTAAAAGAAAGTGAGCCAGTACTAATGTGAGTTTCTAAATGTACTGAAAACTTAGGAAAATCAGCACACTTATGCTATTATTGTATTCTGCTAATGTCCAAAATAGATGTTCATTTAAAACTTGTGATTCAGACAGAGGAGGTGATTTTGCATTGGTATTTTGGGAGCAGATAAATACTGTTACACCTGCCATACTGTACATGCTAGATGTTCATTTGGAAGGCTTGTTGAGTGCTTATCTAGTTCCCATAGCAGTTAGAAGCATTTGTTTGCATTTTCCAGCTCCTGAGAGAACTTGTTCTGTTTATCCCAAATTTCTTGAAAAGAATTTAGTTTGTGATCTTTCTACGTAAACTTCACAGACTGAAATATTTGCTACAGTGTTTCCCTCAAGTTTTTTACCAGCCTTAATTTTACATTAGCAGTACTTTATATCTTCAGGAAGTGCAAAAATGTGTAAAATAGAGTTCTGCCACTATTAATGACATAATTCTTCTATGGCAAATATACTTCTACCTTATTTGTAAGAGAAGATAATTTTCAAATGGGAAATACTTAGGTTGTATGACTTCAGTAATGCCCATTGATTTCATGTGTGTAATTACAGGGAGTTGCATAAAATCAAGCTTGAGTAATAAGAAAGAGTTCTTTTCACTAAAAATGTCATTCACCCATTCTTGCCAAAGTTGATGCTGAGAGCAAATTCTGTGCAAGCCCTACTCTGTTCAAATATTTCTGTTTTCCAACAATTCATGTGTTCTGTGAGCTTAATCATAAATGTACCCAAGCCTGAAATTGCAACAAATGGCAATTGAAGAGGCCAAGTGTGAAAGCTCAGTAACAGAGTAACCAAGGTTAAGGTTATTTTGGTAAGGTAAACAATAGAATTTTATACATATTTAAAAGGTGTTAATGTTTAACAATGTTCATATCAGTGTTGATCTTTTACCAACTGCAAGGCAAAACAGGTTGCCAGTTGTAAGGCAGAAGTAAAGGTAGTTTTTCCTCTTTCTTTGGCTGGGGGTTATCTTAGCTGACAGTAAAAGACAAGGAGGAGTATAAGATGAAAAATATTCAGGTTGTTTAACTTCGTTTAAGAAATAGTTTGCATACAGGGAATAGGTTTGATTTCTTGTTATTTAGCCAGAATAATTATTAAGTTCCTATAATGAATGTAAACAATTTTATATTTCATTGAACTATTTTTTAAATAATATGCCATATGAAATTCTGTATCCAATTATGAAATTATTTTAATAACATTAAATGATGAAGTATTTAAAGAGCATTCTGTTGACTTCAGCAATGATTGATCATCTTGCAACTTGCAGCTTTCAGACAGCAATTGGTAATATGCACCAATTGATTTAACACCCCATTCTGAGTGTCCCTCTGTTTTTGTTTGATATTTTTATGGTGGAATAATAATGAACTTACTACAGAATTTACTTTATCATAAGTTTGACTTGCTATATTGTAGCCAAGGTTATAAGAATTAAGAAAAAAAAATAGATTCTTTGAAGTAGATACAAGGGAAGCACTAAAATTTAGAGAATTTCTTCTGGCTACTAACAGAATTCAAGGAGACATAGGTTGGAAAACTTTCACAGGTATTTTTGTTGTCTCTTAAATTTGGAAATTCAGTCTTCAGTTTATGATATAAAAGTATTTTGAAAGAGAAAGAAAAGGAATGTTCACAAAGTCCTGAATATTTTGCTAATTCATGGGGTTTTTTTCTCTGTAGGAGAAATGTATGCAGGAGGAAGAGTAATATTGTCTTATTAATCAGAGGTGCAATTCACAAAACAAAACTGCCCTTTGGAATATCTGGGAAATGAAAGGCACTACAAAGTATACAAATTAACACTTCTTTGGTTTCAAGTATTTAGTGTCAGCCTCTCATGCCCTTCACCTATGGTATTTAAACATCTCCATTATATTTTTAGACTCATAAACCGATGTGTATAAGACGCACATGTGTGTTTATACACAATTTCTTACAAACATTCATCTCACAGCCGTGTATGCTGCTACTCTCAGCAGATTGGAATGGGTGCATTAGCCATAGGTAGAGTAACACCTTTCTCAGCAACAGCCTCGCCTTCCGTTCTTTTTAAGTGGCAAAATGGGGCTTTTATAGTTGATTACTTGCAGGTCTGCTGGAAATAAGCAAATTGTTGCTCTGTTAGAACTTTCAGCCTTCTCTCCAACTCCCTTGTTTCACAGCTTCCTAAAAAAAACTTGGCACAAGTTTCTAAATAATGTCACTGAGTTTTGTTGTCTGCACGAACCCATCTTGCAGCTTGTTCAGATAAAACTGCAGTAGTTCTGTTCTCTGTGTAGGGTCATAAGGCTACTCAAGAAGTGGTTGCTCCTTGAACTTTTTTTTTCTATTAAGTAACAGTAGGCCAAGAAAATGGAAATTTCTACAAAACTGGGTAGATATGGGTTTTCTCATTTAATAGGAAGTCTAGTACTCCTGCAGATGACACTAGAGTGACTGTAGGGGGTCATATTGAAAGTCAGTGTAACCCAGGATTGTATCTCCAGCAGAGGCCCAAAGTGGATGCTTGGGGAGGAATATAACAATGAGGCATGTAATGATTTTTCCTTTTGTGTAGCATGGATTTGGAGGCTCAAAAAGCACTCAAACTTTTTGGAAAACAATTGTACTTTATAGGTACTTTGAGACCAGAGTCCATTCTCTACTAGCCCAAATAACAGAACATATTCGGTAAATGCCAAAGATATTTTCTCAGGAAAACAAGTTCATTACTTTTTTATTATTTTCTTTAGGAGTTCTTAAGGAATGCCATCTATTTGCATTTTTCTTTTTAAATAGTTAATATTCTAAATTGGGAAGAGTAACTTCAGTAGTTTAAAGAGAACCATCATTTGTTTGAAGAATTTCCCAAATCCTTAACATGAAGAGCAAGGTGGGTCAAGATGGGTCGTGTCAGGAAACAGACAAAATAAGCTGCTTTCTATTTCAGGAAGTTCCGGAAGAGATGCAAGAGCTGCGGGAAACATCTAACTGATACTCTGAAGAAACAGCAGACTTTTGTTGGCTTCCTCAGTTGTGCTTAATTTGCACCGTTGGCAAAAACTCTGATTCTGTTTTAAATGATTCTCTGGGCCTGTCTTCTATCAATGCAGTTATTATCTCTGTCTACTGTTAGCCAAATTTGAGGGTAGTCTTTGAAGCATGAGGAAAGCGATGTGCTGGAGGAGGTGTCTGAAGTTCTCATCCTTTATGGAAAGAATATATTGTGTTACAAGTGTCATTAGCTCTTTCAAGAGATCTGTCTGGGATAATACTTTTGTCTTGATCTGCTTTATGAACTAGAAAAGGTACTTGGTTAAGAATTGTACTTTCAGTTTTCTCTTTCTGGAAGCAAAGGCAAGAGAAAACTATTCATGATTCTCATTCTGGACTCAAATTCACACCTAACTTGTCCTGTCATCAATCTGCAAAAATCACAGGCTTGAAATAAAAGATGCTTGGTATAAATAAAGCTTATAGCACATATAAAAATAGGAGAAAAGAGTTCAATCTAGTTTAAGTAATGATAACATAAGTGTCTGCAGAGGTTTAACAAGGCAGTCATACACAAGCAGAGATCATCAATTCTTGGCAAAAATATTCAGAGGATCAGTCTTAACTGCAAGACACTACCTAGACACAGATAACATCCAGAACATGTCCAGATTTGGCAATTTTACTGAAGTACTTAGATAACGTAATACATATTTCAACATTTAAACATTTCCTTCTTTTGTCTATCTGTGATATAAAGCAGCTCCCACCCACTTGACGTTATAGACTAAGTGATTCAGATCTATTGGCTCTTGGTTGTGGAAAAATCTGCCTGGAGGTCAGTCGTGGTTCATACCACAAGCAGCCATCCTTTTTTTTGCTCTGCTTAACTTCAGCTGGCATTTTTAAATGGGCACATATATTCTTATTTTCAGCTGTGTTTGATTAAAGGTCTGCATGGAGTGTTATGCCAAGTGTAAGGACCTCTGTGTGCTCTGTGCATGTGGGATCCTGTCTGTGAAAGTTAGCTGGCCCCTGCTGTGTCCGAGCACAAAGTAAAGGAGGTGACTGCAATTCAAAGGCCAGAACTGAGAGGGAGCCTAGAGGAGGCCATTGCTGCCAGTCTGGTGGTATCACTGTATGAGCACCTCAGCAAATTGATCCAGCCCAGAAACTGCTTTAGTAGTCTCAGAGAAGTTCTGCTGTGTCCCTGAATGTCTTCTCTCAAACTAAAGGAGGCTTCTACTTGCCTACCCATTTCCTGTACACAACAATCAGACTTTAGTAATTGGAACTTTTCTGATTTACAAACCCACATGAGACTTTTTGGATTCATTATGCATGAAGCAAAGTGTATTTGGGGATGAATAATGTTCCTTCTTTTTTTCTTTTCACTGAATAGTTTGGGGGCTGGGGGTTTTGATTCCGTAGATATTTTAACAGAAATGCATTTTTCCTTTTGACAACTCTCAGAAATATGCTCCGTTAAGAACCTCCTACATGGTATGTATTTGCAATTTGTAAACACAGTATGTCAAAGAATGATTTGATTCAGTGGCAAAGCAGCCAGATATTTGCATGTCATGAGGTCTAAGGGAAACAAACTGACCCTCAGCCTTCCCCCATCCAGCCAAATTCTGATGGGACCCTCAAATAGCTCTGGCAAAGTGTTCTGTTTCTTTTGGACTTGATGAATGCTTGTTTCTGTGAAGGCGTGTAATTATTTCTTCCTTTATTTTGCTACACAAGTTACCAAGAGAAGCAGCTTAAAACAAAACGTGAGTATTGAGACTCTTTTCTGTTATTACTTTATCTGATAATCTTTAAACGTGGTAGTATACAAGGTACCTAATTTAATATTTTGAGCAAGTAAGCAGGAACTTTTTTCTCACACACAAAACTGCTAATTAAATTAGATGCAGAATCCTACACATATAACAATATTTGTGTGTGTGTGTGTACCAAAAGAAATACCATGCCTTTCCGTTGGATGCAATTCTTTACGTTGTATTAATTGGCTCACTCACTAATTTACAGAAAGATTATTTGAGGTTTCCTTTGTAATGGGATGAGGATGAATTTTGTTTACTCCAAAGAACAAGTCAACAAAAAAATGCGTATGCTGTCTCCTGTGACATTTAAAACCCCATTTTTATCTCCTTTCAAGCTTTCATAGCTATTTGCTTTTGCAAGAAGAATTTCTAGATAATATCTATCAAGTTAAGTCACTTCTTTCTAGCGCAACTAATATTAACACTGAATGTGGATTGTTCTTGTTTTTTGTGGTTTTTGCCTTTGGAAGTAAAACCAGTTTCCAAACTGATTTTTTTACAAGTCAAAATATTGCTGGAAACAAGAAGTATCATCTCCCAGTCCTCTCCCCATCAGATACTTTAGCTTTCAGCTATCATATTTTTATGATCAAAATTATGTTTGGAATTTGAAGGGAAAGAGTAATACTGAAAGGATATATCACTGTTTACTGCAATGGTGCTAGAAATATGTGTCTCTATTAGAGAATTAAAAAATTATGGGTAACAGTGGCAATAGTCCTTAAATTACAGTCTATGTACATTAACTGTACTGCTATATGATTTCATAATGGCAGTCTTTTTGATAACGAGATTTAAAATTAAACTTGGAGAAAACTATCAAATGTAATTTTCACTTCAATAATAAAAATGCTTCAAAATATATTTCTTTAACCATCCCTGTTTTCAAAAACAGGATGATTGTATATCTGGAGCTGGGCACAAAATCTCTTACATTTAGAAAGCAAGTTTCAGATGCCTTTGTTTTATTTATGTTCATATTTTTCTTCTTATTCATGTAACAACTTGGCATTTCTTGAGCAACTGAACAGACTGTAGTGGATTTAATATATTAACATTATAACAGGTTGCTGATGGTCTTCCCATGTAATTTCATTACACTATTAGGAAAGTCACTTTGATTCAAAGGTGTTTAATTGGTAGAAACGTTCGATGACTTACTAACCAACTTGTAGGATTAGAGGATAATGAAATCAAGAGCTGCTTGAAAAAGCTTCTGATCAGCTGAGACCTATGGTGTATCGAGGTTATTTGCAGGCAATCATAACTTACAAAACATGTATTTTTGGTTGACTTGCTAAGACGTGTTCTGTGGGCTCTATACCAACAATCCCAGCTTTCTTGCTTTATTTTCCATACCTGAGTTTTATTTCTCAAAAGAATAGTTTAAAACTTTTAGTATTACCTCACCATGGACAGATAGAAAGAAATGTAAAAGTCTTAACCAACATGCTTCCAAATGTCAAGCCCAAAATAAGAGGGTGAAATTCTGAACCTGTCTGAACGAACAGCCCTCCTGTCAACTCGAGATCTAGATACTGTAAAGACTTTTAGATCACCTGGGGAAGAAAACCAAGCTGAGTTTTACTGCACACTTCCCTGCCAGTTTAGGGTAAAATGATATCTTATTGCCTAATTCTAAGGCACTCATAAAATTAATTATTTCCAGTTAAACTGTTCTATTAAAATTTCTAAAGCCCTAATTTTGAAAGTTGGTGTGGCAAAATGCTGCTGATGCTCCACTTGGGCTCCTGCAGCTGAGTTCATTCTTCTGGGAACAAGGCACACACACAGCTCTTATGAGAACCTTTTTTTTCATACTTGTTTTTTCCTGTAAAATTTCAGTGGGATGAAATAAGGAGAGTTTTGTGGAAATATGTAAACATTACTCAAAAAAACCCGAGTTAATAAAACCCCATGGCATAAAATTCTGTAGCAGAGATACAGTGAAGGACAAGACTATTGCAAAGGCTAACTAAGTTGCCTCAGTTGCCTTCATAATGATGACTAAACTTAATTTCTGCTAGAAATCACTCTGGAGAGAAATCCTTTAAGTACAAAACATGCCTTGCTCATTAGCCTCAGGAAGGTTTAGGTTAGTTTTCGTAAATATCTGCATTCTCTGATGCTGTGCAGCATACGTCAGCTATTGTCCCTTGTTTCCCCTTCTTTGACTAAGATTTTTCTTTGATTCTACTTCATCCATACTAGTATGTTAGTTTTCTTCTCAGCCATGGTTGATTTTGAGTTTGAATTTGTTCTAGATCCATATATAAGGACATATATATGTGTAAGTTCTTGCACATCTCAAGATACTGTGGATAATGGATCTGAACGCACTGCCCTAACTTGCTGGCCTCACACCTAGAGGCTTTATTGCTCAGAAAAATATTCATCTTCCTGTAAAATGTCTTTGTACATAGGTAGCAGAATGGATAACAAGACTGAGCAAGTGCCAGAGAGTAGTGTAGTTGTTGACAGAACATTTTGTGTAAGAATATTAATCACAACCTCAGAGTCATTAAGGACACTTGCAAAGTTCACAACTGGAACATTTTATTGTCTCAGCTAATTTTGAAAGTTCTTTCTACCTCTGGCACCAGAAGCTGACCACCTTTGTACAGTGCTTTTAACCACCCCGGACCAGTGCCATGGATACAGCCTGATGAGCAGACCCATCTGGTGGCAGAGGTGAACTGACTGGCTTCTTTTGTTCCCACTCTACAGGTTTGCTCTCTGACCTTGAGGAAGTCAGTTTATTAACCTTTTCTGTAGACAAGTGTGTTTTAAGATTGCTTTATTGTTGTTAGAAAAACATTCTGAAACCTTTGAAAGGAAACCTGTAAAATACTTCAGAGGATTAGGTTATAATTCTATTTATCAGAAGCCCAGAACAGTATTAGGCTGTAAATGTACTTATCAGGAGCTCAGTCTTTCTCAAGTGAGCTCTTCAAGTTTCAAATTCAGCCATATCATGATTCATTTTTGTATTAAAACATGCAAAACTGTGGCTTAACTATAATTCTGTGGGTCTGGTTTGCATTAAAAAAAAAGTATAGAGAAAAAACTATTTCATGCTGATCTTCTGATTGTCAATCTTTGTTTAGTTTGGTGCTTGAAAACAGAGGAACACTGAGAAACATTTCAAATTAAAAGTTCAAAACTGTTTGGGTTAGTTGGATTTTTTAAAATACAGTAGCAGAATTCTTAATTTGTTTAATCACTTGCTTAGACTTTTTACTGAACACATTTACCAGTTTTTACAGAAATTAGCAAAAACGTCTTGGATTGTATTTGTTCCTTAATACAATTTCTGCTGCTGTATTCCACTCTCCTCTTCCTCAGACCAACATTTTTCCCCACAGCAGGTCAGAGTTATGGTCTCTGAGCATCATCCTGTACTGAAACCAGTCAATTCCATTCGACGTGGTTGCTACATTCTTCACATCATCACTTGAATAGACTTTACTGGTTTCAATGGTCTTGTTGTTCCACAATATCCTTAAGTTAAATAACTTGTTCTTAAAATGTTCCTCAGTGTTAGAAAGGAATTTCTTCATTCTTATCAAATTCCCTCCAGCATTCCAAGATTTTAGTGATGATTTTTATTTGTCTGAATCAAATGTTGACTGTCTTGGGTGTTCAGACAAACTTTAGTCTTAATTTTCCTTCAATCAGAAATGGGTAATCCTACATTGGAACCAACTTTTAGTTTGTGTGTATTTATAATCGTAGAAATAAATCCACTCTGAAAATCATAGTGCCAAGAGCAAAACCGTGTACAACAGTGGCATCACAAACTATGATTTCTGTTGCTGTAGTAAGCAGCCCAGGGCTTGTCTACAGAACCATATCATCTGTTTTCAGTGCAAAGCTTGATAAGAAGGTAGCAGCCAAGCCTGATGGAGCACTGTAAGCAGCAAAATTGGTCATTCATTTGGCCTACAAATCAAAATACAACAATAATTGAAGTAGGGATCTTACATGCCAATACTATTAATAGTAGCCTTTGCATTTCCTAAGCTGTAATACCACCTCACTTACCACAATCTTTTAACAGGACTGAGATCAGAAAACTACCTTTGGTTCATTTTGATAAGTTGTCATATTTTTATTAAAAGAATGCTGTGGTTAGGTTTATTTCTTTTCTCAAAAAACCAGGTCAGGTTGGTATAGCACAGTTGTGAGAGAAAAGGAAAAGCCTGTGCCACTGCAGCAGATGCTTTATTATCACTTGGGGGATTTATGTTTGGGCTGGGAGGAAGCAGGTATATTTTTTTTAAATAGGGTAATGAAAATTCTTTCCAATTTTAGCTTGTTGCTAACATTGCTGCTGATGATGATCTTTTTCTTTTTGCTCATTTTATTTCTTCAAGCAGTTCTAACTAGGTCACAGGGTTTTAAATAACCCAGCTAGAAAAAGTTGTACTGCATAGTCAGTTGTATTTATTATTGTCAGCTGTATTTGTCACATCTTAACTAGTTCAGCTCCAAATACTTAATGTTTCTTTTTCTCTTGTAGTACCTGTACATTGATAGAAGGGAAATGCATTAATATTTCCACATAAGTACAATATGTTATTCTCTACATTCCCACCATTTTAATTAAGAAAGAATAACCCAGCACAAATGTCCTTTTGTTACCAAATTTCTTCTCTCAAAATGAAATCAACATGTCTGTTCCTAGAATTAAACACAATTAGCTTCAAAATTGCTTCTTCAAATAAAATTTTTAAATTTATATAAAAAATGAAATTTAAAATTTTACTAGAAATTTTTCTGTTGAGAATTTAAAATCCATTTTAGATCAATATTGTTAAATCAAGTTTCACTTTTCTGAGTCCTACATTTCTGAAACAAACTGTCATTTTCCATGAAGTGTGTGTGTGTGTGTGGGGGGGTGTTTCACAAATATATTCTATTTAAATTCAGCAAAAATTTAAGAA